ATATATATATATATATATTCCAGTAGATTACAAGCATTTGGGGAGGTTGTTTGCCTTACTGGAAATCCAGTGTGGGTTTTATCTATATACATACGCCTATGATTAATCCATATATTTCTAAATACATGCAAGTATTTCAAAATATTCTGCTGCCTTCTCCCCAAAGGAAACCAACTCTGTACTCAGAAAAAGTGAAGTAGCTTAAACACCCTTGTAAGAGCACAGTGGTCAGGCTGCCCATAGCAGATTCAGAATAGCCCCTGCTACCTTTTTTGGTAGATAACTTCCAATTGCAGAAAATCTATGTAGCTATGGGTTAAACCTTTGGGTTTTTCGTATGCTCTGGGCCTGGTTGCTTTCCTGCAGAGGCCTCCCTTTTGCAAGAGTTTGCTTTCTTTCTAGTTCAGGCTGTCAAAGAGAAATCTCATTTCCTGCTGCTACCCATCATAGAAAACACAACCCTGTTGCTTAATTAGAGTGAGATGGGGAAAAATGTATTGCTTAAGCAGGAAATAAGGAGCAAACCCAATCTGGAGCGCATTTTCAGTTCGTTATGATAAAAACAGCTGAACCGGCAGAATCAGAGCCTGGCATAATTAACACAACAACCCTAGTCCAACAGCTCAGTAAACAATGTTTTCCTTTCCCCTCCCTCTCCTGTTGCCCGTTCACCTTTTCCCCCCCGCTGTTCCTGCTGCTTGCCAACAGCCCCCCTCCTCAAACGTCAGAGATAATGCTATGCAGCAATGTTATTCATTAATCTTTTTTAGCAATGCAACTAGAGGAGAACTTGGCCATGAACGGGAGAGGAGCAACAGAATGTGCCTCTCAGGCTTGCCCGATGTAAAGGCAGGCGGCATTGGGGGGGAAATTGGTTCCACCGTATTACCTCCTCTGATGAAGGTTTCCTCTCCGAATCCAAAGGGACAGAGGCCCTCCCCACCACCACAAGCACCATCTCTCTTACCTCCAGGGATGCAGAGTCAAAGGACTACAAGGGCTGCAGGGGCTGAGAAGGGTCGGGCTCTGGCTACCGGGTGACAAACTGCAAAGGAAGAGAGGCAACCAAAGGAAGGGTGGGTGAATAATGTGAAGAGGTCTCCTAGCAGTGACCCTCCTCAGACAGCGGCAGAGGCCTTTTGGTGTGTCCCCCCCCCCCACAATTCCTTCTCAAGCACTAAGCAAGGAGGCCAGACCCCAAGCAGGTTGCAACTGAGAAGAGGACAAGGTGGTGTCATCTCCCATTTCTACAATCCACTTCATCCTTCCTTCAAGTTCCAATGATCTTTCTACTACTCTTGAAGGCAACATTTTGGGTAGGGGGGGCACAGGGAAGAGGGCCTGGCAGATCTGCTTTCCTTTCCTGGACTACCTGACATGATTCAGAATCTGTACAAGTGTGGGTAAGACTAGCTCAAAAGCCAGGAAATGATCTGCAGCTAATTCATCTCCAGTTCTTGGAGACTACCTGGATAAGTCCCTGTAGCTTTCTTGGCAAGTTTTTCAGAAGGTTTGCTATTGCCTCTTTCCTAGGACTGAGAGGAAATGACTTGGCCCAGGGTCATCCAGCTGGGTTTGGGCCTAAGGTGGGATTCGAACTTGTGGTCTCCCAAAGGTGCTTTTTTTTTTAAAGCTTACAAAGGGTAACCCAATTTCCCCACTAGTTGGGAATGCACTAGCATCTTTCAGGGCAGATCATTATAGCTGAATATAGAGAGTCAGTTTAAGGCATCGGACCAGAAAGTGGGAGATCTTGATTGTCTATGGAGATTTCCAGTCATCCAGGTCAGGGTTGTCCCAAAGGTGCTTTTTTCAAGAAGCAACTGGACTTTCTAGTTTTTCTTTGAAGACATTTCGCTTCTTATCCAAGAACTTCAGAGCTGAAAAATCTTCTTGGATGAGAAGCAAAACATCTTTTAGACAGTCATGGTCTCCCAGTTTCTGGCCCGATGCCTTAACCACCACACCAAACTGGCTCTCTATATGCAGCCCTATATTCTTTCTTAATGACCTGCCTTGAAAGATGCTAGCTACTGCATTCCCAACCGGTAGGGAAATTGGGCCACCCTTTGCCAAGCTTTAGAATTTGAACTCTGAACCCTGTTCTCAATTTTATTTATCTAGCCTGAAAGGATGCTGTGTTGAATTCTTTCATTCCTCTTATTAAATTCCATCACGAAAAGACTTGAGGCTAAACATACTCAGCTCTCTTAATCCTATGAAAGTTGGATTCATTAGGTGGGTTTAGCCTCAAGAAGGGGAGACATGGAATGTACATGAAATGCGGTCAAGGGAAGATGTCCACAGCTCCTAAAGGCAGGGTAAGAATCTATGCCGGAAGCTTTACACTAGATCCAAACAATAGATCCACGCTTGAAATAAGGAGGAATGACAGCTATTAGGCAGTGAATCAGCTTGCCTTCTGGAGTTGCGTGGGCTCCATCACTGGAGGTTTTTGAGTGATTTCTCAGGGATGATGTCAGAATTTCTACCCTGGGCAGGATTGGACTAGATCAGTGGTTCCCAACCTTCTTTTGGCCATGCCCCACCTAAGCATCTCTAAAATTCTGATGCTCCACCTGCGACATATAATTCAAAAAGTGAACTCTACTCACATGGAGGAAGCCTAAAAGGCCATTAGCTTGATTTAAACAAGGTTCATATTGTCCCCATTAAAAATCAAATTGCCCTCTTGTGGGGCCTGGACCCCATGTTGGGAACCACTGGAGTAGATTACCTCAGAGGTTTCTTTCAGCCTGAAGATCCTAAGACCAGGGCTGTGTGATTCTTAAACCATAGAAACCCAAGGATTACCAAAACAGCAAGAAGCCAGTGGTTCTTTTGTGATCAAGTAACCTGGGGTAAAATTTGTGTGGGAGTGATTACAACAGGTGGGGGGGGAGATACAGGGGAAGGTAAGCTTCCCAGGTATTGATGAGGCTGCTGGGGGAAAATCCAGATTCCTGATACATAGCTACTCTTGCTGTTTAGATTAGGAAATCCTCCCAAGCTTGCAAGGTTTAATATTCCCCCCCCCCAAATTCTTCCTCCATTTCCTCTTTCAGCTCCTCCACGGGGCAGGTGGACCCTCCAAAAGGTAGAGGAGCAAGTGCAAATCCAACAGGTGAGGCTCTCACCTTCCCCAGGGTGGAGGTCCCAGGGGAGAGGAATCTGGCAGGTCTACTCCACCTGCTTCGTTTCTACTCTCAAGCAGTTGCTGCTAAAAAAACCTATGTACTATTGGGGTGAGGGTGAGTGGGGGGGGGGCGGGAGGCAAAGAAACAGGGTGGGTGAATAAGGATGCTGGGAAGAACTGTGAAGCTGGCGAGGCGATGGAAGCGATGGAGAAGGCAGGTGAAGCTCTTCTCCGGCTTCTTTTTAGGAACAACCCGCCCCCCTGCCTCCCAGCCTGGTTCCCTGGCAACCGAAACATGCGTCATTGGAGACCCCTGGATCGAAGGAGGGAGCGCGCGGGGAAGACAGGGGGAAGCGCCTACCCTCCTTCGAGCCTCCGCCGCCCCGGCGCAGCTTTGTCTCCCTTCACCTGTCCCGGGTGCTTCGATCCCTCCGGTCCCCTCCCCAAAAACCCTTCGTCTCAGGTTCCCCCCCCCCGCTCCCTCCTTCCCTCCCCTCTCCGCCACCGGCCAGTGACCCCCTCCCCACAGCTCCCTCCTCACTTACTCCACCAAGGTCAGCGAGGGAATCTTCAGCTTGGCTCGGCGTGCCTGCATGGTTGTTGCCGCCGCCGCCGCCGCCGCCCCGACGGTGTGCGCGACCCTCTCTCCTCTCTGCCCGCCAACTCGCTCGGGCAGCGAGTGAGCGGCGACAACCAGCCGCAAGAAAGGAGGCGAGGCTGCTCGCCGGCTTCCCCCGCTGCCCGCCCACCTGCCACTCCTCCCCCGCGGCCCTCGGAGGGGAAGGGGGGGGACGGAGGAAGAGCCCTCCGTGCGCGCGCGCCTAGCTATTCCTCACCTCTTCCCCCCCTCAGCCCCCTCCCCCCCCGACTTTAAAAGGGGGTGAAACAGACTCTTGGGGGGGGGGGGAAAGGTTAGCAGCATATGTACAGTTCTCACCCTGGTGTGGGTTTTTTCCCCCCTGATCCCAAATTTCCACAACTGGTGGTCGTTTCTAGCTGACCAGAAATGCTGACCCTTTTTGGAAGAACGGTTTAAAAAAAAAAAGGAGTGAGGCATCCGCTTTTTTTAAATGCTTTTTCCAGGGTTCGGTGCCATACAGCTATAGTCCTTGGCTTACGACCACAACTGAGCCCCACCCTTCGGAGAGTTTTGCCTCCTTTTACGACCTTTCTGGACACCGTTGTTAAGGGAACCGCTGCAGGGGTTAAGTCAGCAACGCGGTTCTTTGAAATGAATCCTCGTCGACTTTGCTTGTCAGAAGGTCACAAAAGGGGGGATCGCGTGGCGCTGAGACACTCCGACCGTCGGAAAAGCGAGTCGGTTGCTGAGCATCTGAATTTTTGATGATGTGACCATGGGGATGCCGTAATAGTCCTAAGTGTGAAAAATGGTCGTAAGTTACTTTGTTCGGTGCTGTTGTAACTTTGAACAGTCACTAAATGAACTGTTGTAAGTTGAGGACTACCTGTAGCAGGGAAGAGACTGAAAGTCTCCTAGAGTGCTGATCTCAACCCCCTTGAACCCTTTTTAGGTAGAAAAATCGCAGCAGAGCTCAAATAAACGATGATGTTAACCAGAAGTGGGGCTTAATGCCATTTAATCAAATCAGGCCAATCTTTATTATGATCATGGACCAGGCATGTCATGCCATTTCGAAAGGCCAATAAATGTAATTTTTAAAAAGCACTTCCTGCATATGTACCAAAAGCTATTCTGTTTCAAACAGGCATTTTCTGATCCTTAGGGTGGTTCCCAGAAGGTCATAGGTCGATTGATTTATTGAAGTCACTACAAAAGGAAATAAAGAGATACGCACAGAGATACTTCATATGCCATGGATTCTTCTGCAGATTATGGATGAATAGGTTGTCCTCAACTTAACAACCACAGTTGGGGTGTAGAATTTCAGTTGCTAAGCAAGGCGGTTGTTAAGCGAGTCGCACCTAATTTTACAATGTTTTGTGCCAGTGTTAAGCAATCACTGCAGTTGTTAAGTGAATCATACAGTCATTAAACGAATCCAACTTTCTCCATTGACTGCTTGCTGGAACCTGAGTGGGAAGGTCCCAAATGGTGATCACATGACCTCAGGACACTGCAACCATCATAGATTCATGCGGGTTGCCAAGAGTCCAAATTTTGATCATGCAACCATGTGGACGCTACGATGATTGTAAGTGCAAGGACCAGCCGTAAGTCACTTTTTTCAGTGCCATTGCACTTCGAACGGTCGTAAGTCGAGCACCACCTCTCCCTATAAGCTCAAAATTGATGTTGAAGAAAGCACTCTGTACATGGGTAGAGGAGCTCTTCTCCTGGATATGCATTATAGCAAGTTGCCCAGGAAAACGTATTTCCATACCTAAGACTGAGATGTTTGATTGTTCTGTATTATTTGAGATCATACTGTCATCCACATCTCCCACCCGCAGATGTGTGTCAAAAGCCAGTTTACAAAGAAAACAGCAGCTCCGCATAATAAAAGAACGGGGAAGGGGAGCCAAGATTGTGATTTAATAAGAATGCAATGCTCAGCACGATTGGTATCCAGTCCAATAATTTTCAGAGTAGGAAATATAGGCTAAAGATACAGAAGGATCTTGACAAACTTGGACATTGGGCACTATCTAATAAAATGAAATTCAATGGTGAAAAGAGTAAGGTTCTACATTTAGGCAAGAAAAACGAAATCCACAGGTACAGTACAGGTCAGCGATGGCGAACCTTTTTTGGCTCGCGTGCCATAAGTGGGGGGGAGCACAGGGGGGTCATGTGCGCGCGTGCTGCACCCATAATGCAACACGTGACCCCCCCCCAGTGTGCATGCATGTATGAGAGGCACTCCCCCCATTTTTTGCATGTTTTTTTCCCCAGGCTCCAGAGGCTTTACAGGAGCCTAGGGAGGGTAAAAACAGCCTCCACCCCCGTGAGGCCTTCCAGAAGCTTCAGGGACCTTCAGGAGGCTTCCCTGAAGCGTCCGGAGGGCTTAAACCGACCCTACGAGCAAACCAGAAGTCCGTTCCCAAACTTCTGGTTTGCCCATAGGGTCATTTTTTTGTGCTCCGGAGGCTTCAGGGAAGCCTCCTGAAGGTCCCTGAAGCTTCTGGAAGGCCTCACGGGGGTGGAGGCTGT